ACTAATCCAGAATCGAGTCGGGTAGGACCACAAGAGCGACAAAATTCTCTCTCAATAGTTTTTATTAAATTAACAACTGAAATACACATTATTCATGTATTTCTAATTTATTTCACGCTTCTCTCGTATGCATTAATCCAATAGATCATGCTATAGTGTCATAAAGGATGACATAAATTTAACTTAATAAAATAACACTGTGTCACGATCTTATTACTTTACGCACGCACTGCATCACCTTTGAAACAAACATTCACTATATACTCACTATATATAATATAGATTTTAATATAATAACACTTGCCATGATTTTATTATTACCTTGATTATTTTGGAGCTAAACCGAGCTAAACTCACATGTCAAATGAGTTGAGCTTAACTCAAGCATTAACGATCCGAGTCAAGCCAAACTCACAAACGCAAGGATGGAGGTACATGAGGGCCAAGGGGCCTCATGGCTCCCCTGATTTTTTTTTATAGAAATGCAAAATATATACACAATATATTAATAATTAAAGCTTATTTTCTATGCTATTTTAATTGAAAGTAATGATATTATTTATTTATTGAAAAATATACTAACAATCATTATATTTTACATTTCTAAATAAGGTTTTGAAAGTATTTATATCATAGTTGTAAATCGATTATGTGATTTATAAAACTGAGTACTTAGTTGGATTGTTACGATTTTTATTGTTGATTTTTATTTTGTATTGTGTCATCACATATTTTTAACTTTATTTATTTTTCTTAAAAAATGTTCATTTAATAAGCTCTCATCAACAAAAACTTTATGCAACGTGTTACAAAATTTCAATTTAAATCAATTTTTTAAACAAAAAAACTTATTTTTTCATAAATTATAAATGTTAAATTTACATTATAAGTTCATTAAATATCATTTATTTGTCTAGAGTTTAAAGGCGACACAGATTCTAAGTTTTGATATAAAATGAGCATTTCGACTTAAATTGCATGCTCGTTATGTAACATTATAACCCCCTCCCCCGAGTGAATTCCTAGACCCGTCACTGCACAGGCGTATTCTGTATCACACTTGCATGTGCCCAAACCATCAATCGATTTGGACAACTATTTTTCTCATTTGTCACACTTTGGCTAAGAGAGGATTTTCTTCAAACTTACTTCTAATTGAAAGTGATACTTCCCATAGTTTCTTTCCTTTTCAAAACATAATTGAGTTTGGGGTAAAACTAACTTCCACAAAAGAAGTCTTGTTTTAGCATCAAATTTTAGGTGATTTTAACTTGGAAAAGTAGATTTATAGTTTTGAATTATACACTTACTCAGAAAGATCCTTAGATTTTAGATCTATTTTGAGATTAAATATGTGTAATTGATACATTGAGTCATTATATTGTTTGGTCAAATTAAGTATTTAAATTATTGTATATAGATATATTGGCTAATGAACTTAATTTACATCGTAGAATGATTACATTTGGACACCGATAATAATTAACAAAATAATTTAAGTCAAAATTAATAATTGATAGAGTTTCTAAAAATCGTGATAAATAAACCGAGCCTTAAGAATTATTCATTAAGTAAGATCAAGTAAATCGACTGCCTCTTTATCTTCCCAAATGATTCTTCATTACATCAGAATAGAAGAGAAAAGAGTTCATGGTCTTTGAACGATCTTCAATTCCAAATTACATTTGAGTTCCAACACAATCAATCGAAACGAGATCATCAGGTACACTTCTACTATTCGATTATGATTTTCAAATTGTTCGATACGAGGGATAAAGTGGTGAGGTTCACATAAAATTATTTACATTATAAAACAGACACAATTTTATTTATATTATTTTTGAAACAAAAAAAAAAAAGAAAAAGAAACATGTTAGTGTACATGATATGTTATGTATTTTTGTGTATTTACTTATTTAGCCTTAGTTTCTTGGTAGAGAAGTTATTCCTTGTAAACCAACCCTAATCTTTGGTGTATATATTATAAGTGGCGGCTCTCTCTCGGCATCAGATTAGATGACCGATTTTATTATCGTGTTCTTTTCTTCTACTTTGTCATGGTATCAAGAGCAAGGTTAAAAAAAATTTTCTTCTGTATTGCTCGCCCAATCTGATCGAAAAAAAAAAGAAAAAAAAGTTCCATCAATTCTTTCATATTGCTTGCGCCAACAATTTTCTCTTGTGGGAATTTATACCATAGGCATTTTTTGAAAGCCGC